GCTTCGTCTCCATTAATCCTTATTTGAGCGTATCAGATTGTGCTTGGTCTTAATTATATAGTTTATATTCTCATATTTACCTTATACATTTTGTATCTAGGCTGTTTTACATATCATGTAATATATGATATAAATTTGTACATAATACATTCGAACTTTACATAATAGTATAATCCATGCATATTTTGCATTACTGCATGGAGGTCATATATTACTAACGTAACAGCACTAAGATCAAGTTCAACCTGAGCTAACGCGAGCAATCATTTAGCCCTTATTGTGAAACTTGCATATTGAATCTGCTTGCAAGTGAATTCCTTTTTTCAGTGCCTGATTGGTAGACTTCACGTTTGTGTTTACTGACGTGAAAGTATCACGACAGTTGGTAGCACGAGATTGTATTCGTTTCTCGTCGTTAGGCCACGGTCATCGGCATACTTAAGAATTAGAATCCTCATACGCTGAGGATTGAGGGATTATGGTGCACATCGCTGTACCCCTGTTGTTAGGGAAAGATTAGAAATGGATCCGATGAGCGTTTGATGCTTAAGCTCATCGCTGACTGCAGCAGGTATTGTTACAGCTGGAAAATACCTGCATTCTGCGGCTAGCGATGAAATTCCTTTCCCACTACCCATGTTACTCTGAAGAAAATCAGTGCGATACAAATGGCGACGCCGATTGTCTTTTGTTCCCTTCATAAAATGTTAAGCCGTGTTCTTGATGTTCTCGGTTCACTATTGATGTACTGCTTCATTCATTTGAAGTCATGTTGGCAGTTATGACTGACGTGAAGTTCATCTCGTGATTTACATTATGCATTAAGGACGCTGGTGTCATCCGCAAAATCACGTCGATGAAGAAACAGGAGATTTTGGAGACGATTGGCAAACCGGTCGACACTGCCAAGTATTACGCTCCATTTTTAACTCCTTAGCCGACTCTCGGGATTATCGCATACGATTTAGCGTGGAACGAGTGAAAGCGGTCATCGACGATTTGATCCGAGTCGATACGTTGAACGAATCGGTGACGTCAGAGTACACAGAAGACTCAGACGAAGAACATCTGCACTCGTCAGTTTCATCGACGTTTTCCCAGCTTTACGAATTGGCCAGAAATTTCAAAGATAGCCGAAGTGGCGAAGTTCTTTCTCTTCCGTTTCTCAGGCTTCCTGTGAAGAAGTGAGAAACGAGCCTAATCAACATTCTTTAGTCTCTTTTTCTGTTACCGTTTTAGTCTTGGTCGTATTATTCAGGTTGATTATCCGGTAACTGAGATGGCAGCCATTGTGACAGCATAAGCGAAAAATAGAACATAAGGAGGAAGCGTAAAACGGAAATAGATGTCGAATTTAAGTTCATCGTACTTAGTGACAATAGTCACGACAGAATGGTGCTTTCCGGATTGTGTTTGTTTACACCAGTAAGGTTGTCAAGCGATAAACAGAAAAAAATTACAGCATTATCATCACATTGAGTTTCTAAAATAATGCTGTTATAGAAATATCTTAAAACCTTTACGCCGTTTGTTCCGTGACATGGCGAAATCAACCGAATTTACATATACTTCTAGAGTTTGTACGTCATACTGAAAAAAAGGAAGAATGGGTGGAAAGTTTCTAGCCATTGGAACGTTGGTCGTCCTTAAGCTTTCATAATAAGGCCATTTCTGGCGCCCTTGCTAATGACGGAGCGCTTAACTCTGTTTCTATTCTATCAGCCAAGAGTGCCTGATTGTAAAGAAAAATGAGCTATGGTCGAAAGCGGCTATACGGCAACACTAATGTATAGTCTCCTGATTCATTCCCACACAGTGGTACACATTTATTAACCTTTGAAAAAAGATGAATTACTAGACTTAGGCTTTAAGACGGGTACGCCCGGATCTGTGTCCGACGATTTACGGCCTGAAAATCTCTGACCACAGCTACGTGAAACTGTAGTATCTTTGCGTTTCGTAGCACCGCTCATAAACGAATTCTGTAGCATGTACTCAGCACCAAAAACAGCATTACTGATGTTCCAACTTCGGCTGGTCCCTTTACACAAGATGAAATTCTAATTAACCTTCTACTGTTTCGAACGACCTATTTTCGCTGATAAGAAGTCATTTTTCTGCATTTTTCGTTTCCACTGAAACAAACTTAGAATGATTGGAATGCGCATGGCTAATCGCTACTATTTCGAATAATCCGTGGCATTTCAAATGTCCTAACTACATCTCCGTTGCGTTGCAGCATAATATCTTGAATTAACCTAATTTTGACTTTTACAGATTTGGGCACATCATCGTCAGCATTATCGATCCACTCTTAGATGAATTCCTCTCTGATTTAAGCGAAAACAGCTTTTTCTGCCATACCATTTTTATCCATCTTCATTGAGTGGACTCTTTCACTTGCTCCTGAATCGATCTGGGAATCTTCCTGCAGGCCACTCTACTGCAACAGCCTTAAATCTCTCTTGTCCAGTGAGACTTGGTTCTTTTAGCGACATGTCTTTCCCGTTGCCACTGTAAATCCTTCACCTTGGGCAGTGACATTGCAGACGTTTGTTTGTGCTTTTTCTCATTCATTAATCATCGTGACGCACGTTCTACATTAACCTGGTTTACACAATACGAAAATATAGGAAGTGCTTCATCAGAGCATAAAGATTTCTAACGACGGGTAACGAGTTTGTCTTGTGCTACATTACCAGAATTATCCAGCAAGTAACTTTCGATAGATAAGCATTCTGTAAACCATCATAGTAAAGGGAGAATGAAAGAGGATGAAGCAACTCGAGAAAATTGAGCATCTAACTAGGTGTGGTCGGTTTTGCTGCACCGTTTGATTCATGCTTTGTTCTTGTTATGGTTGTGCATTTCCACATGCTACCTAAGTCATCCCTGCAGTTTCCTCAGTCGTAGCCTCTATGTAACCGAGACGCGAATCAATTGCTGATTGTTGCTCATCATCCATACGTGTGCCACTTTTTCATGTGCCCACCCCACAGGTGGTTCATAGCCTTGAAGTGTCAGTTAGCTGCATTTTTTGCTCCGGATTCAACAATGGTTCGTACAGTTGTTTCAACAATTGTTGCGTACTAAAATACATTGAGTATATAAAACAGTTTACGAAGTACATATTTATTAATTTTAGTTTTAGACCAGTATGTACTTCCGCCTAATTTTTTTTCAGAATTCATCTTATAGATCTCTACTAGAGTCACTTATAAAAATTGTTTTAATCAATGAAATTCACACTGTTCGAATTTCAGCTCTTATCCGGACTACTATGACGAAATCAAATTTCCAATGTCCTACTTCATGATCAACAAGAAGCTTAAAGTAATTTTTGGAGATAGCACTTTTCGTATGTTTCGTATTGTACCTCCAGAACAATGAATATGTCGATTTGGCAAGTTTTCTTCACGATTTCAGCCTCATGTTCAGCAACGCAAAGGCGTACAATATAGAGGGATCTGACATTTACGTGGTAATAATTTTTCAGATACTTATTTTCTTTAAATATCATTGTCAGTAATTCACACATGATGTAAACCGTCATTTAGAAAGCCTGTAAATTGCAAATGCTGATGAATCAGAAAGCCCATGAAATCGATCCAACTTTGGATATATCAGTAAGTGGAAATTTTCGTGCTTTAAATATTTTAGATGACATCTGCATCCTTATGTTTTCCATATGTGTTACTGTGTCCCTTATCCTGTACTATATTATCGGTGCAAAACCGTCAACGTTTAGAATATAGGTTGACGAAGGGAAGTGATTGAATGAGCGCATCAAATAAGCATTATTCATCCTTTACTGGGACCGTTTAAACCTCAAAAAGGAATGTTGATCTGCTTGGATTCGCTGAGGCTGAATGCTAGACGACTGCTTTTTATCAATTTATCAAATATGTAGCCTAAGTATTATGATATATTAAGTGAAATAATTTTCCATTGTATCTTTGAGTAGTATGATCAGATTTGTTGCTTACAGTGCCTTTATAAAAATGGCTAGAATATGTGCTCTTCATAATAGTTCTGTGTGAAAGCACCCTTTTTTAAGGATTGCCAAAGAAGACTGTCTTTATGAGGATTATCTAAGAGTATTCCATTATAGTCACTATTGTTGATGCTGAATGCTCGTATGGGCCCTGAAAACTTAACGATATCTTGTTGTTGACACGTCATTGATCTTTTTATCGATTGTTCGTTTTTCTGGGAAAGTGAAATTTCCATTCTTCATATTGTATATTTCGTCTTGCAATATGCCCTGTTTTCACTGTCACGCCATATGATTACCATACTATTTTTTTAATCACTGGATGACGTGGTTCTAGAGTAGTACTCGAAGTAGCGCTGTACTCTAATTCTGATTCGCATTCTTGGGCGCATTCGTTCAGATAAAAGCCACTTTTTGTTCTTATGTTATATGCAGTAAATAGTGCATCTTACTGTTTTAGAAAATTACGTACGAAACCAATCTGGAAGCAAATTCTGAAACCAATTACGATTCCGAAACATCTGCCAGTATTTATATTAAGTTTTCCTGTAAAAGCGAATTTTCACCGTTAACGGTTAGGCGAACGAGACAGACTTCGAAACCGGATGACAAAAAACAATTTGGAAGAGCAGATGCACCGCT